CCTCAGTTTCCTCATCTGTAAAATGAGCTGGAGAAGGAAATGGCAAACCACCCCAGTATTTTTGCCAAGAAAACCCCAATGGGGTCATGAAGAATCAGATACGACTAAAATGGCTGAACATTATAAAAACTTGTATCTATCTATAGACTTTAGCTTCTACTTCAGACACTGCTATTGTTTGACCCTTGCAGTTCTAAGACCTCTATGCGTGGCTACTCATCTCTGCTTGTCCTTATAAAATTTTGTCCCTTTCCTCACTCCACAGCCTGTGCCTGAATGTTCATCAATCTTTCATCAGCTTACAAACGGACAACAACCACCTATGGAGCACATTATATAACCCCCAGAACCCCACGATGAGTCAGACATGCCTGAAACAACTTAATGGCAATGGCAATGACTACAACATTAAGGTGAACAATTCAAAATAATCCCACCTATCAGGTCAGTTTGGTGGTGCATTTTTCAGATAATTTATCATAGTGGGCCACCCAAGTGCATGTAGATAAATAAGACATTCCATGGGGACCACAATGAGGTTTTCCTAATGATTAGGCAATCAGTTGTTGACACCTGTACTTAAATGTAACAGTGTTAATGTGGCAGATGTCATACTGATGGAAAGCTTAAGAAGGCAGCTCCCCATATGTGACATGGAATACTCAACTTTAGCAGCCAATTGCCTCCACACATAACATCAAAACACAAAGCAGGATTAGGTATTATATTTTGTATACTACTATTATAAACATTGGCAAAGAAATAGAAATTACAGGGAGAAAAGGGGAAACACTTTGGGTGTATGCTGACCTGTTATAGCCTGCAACTGCAGGGACCCAGGCTTTCCCCATTAACTGCATGGTTCACAAAGAAGTCAAACAAAAACTCTAGAGGAGTGGGTAAATTAATAGAAACTGCCTTCTTCCTTCCCAGCTCAGGGCTGTGGGAGGAGGAATTTCTCTTTAAAGGTACTTAGGTGTCATCTCACCCAACCTGGTCAACCAAGCTCAGTGCTCACATTCTCAGCTGCTTTAGCTGCATCGTTAAACTGGCAGCCTTAGCTCTAGCCCCTTCTTTTAGGGTCTCTGAAGAGGAAGTCAGAGCACAAGTACTAAGCACATGGCTGAAAAAATCTGCATGGCTTTAAGATGGGAGGCAACTAGGCCTTCCACTTTGGGGTTGCACCTTCCTCCTTCTATCCTGAATTCTTTGTAAACTGTCTCAGGTGTGTTCCTCTTCCTCTCCCTCGCCCTCTCCAGTTCACGATCTCATGACCAGTGGAATCTTGGGAAAGGGCTCCATCTCCACGGCTATTCTGAGGCAGGGTCAGATACAGAGGAAGGATTACAAAAACGTTTTAAAACGATTTCTTTTATGCTTCATGGTAAGAACTCTGGAGTCTCAACCACAGAAAGAACTGTATAAGGAAATGCAATTAAAATACATTTTCTCATCAACTATTATTAACCCTACCTGCAAGGAGCCCTTTTTAAAAAGTGGATTGTTTTTCTCTCTGGGCAAGAATATAATAGCTGTTGCTATTAAACTTTCATAACAGTAGTACCTGTAGTAAACTCATGGCTGCTGGTTTCTAAAACACATAGTTTACTTTCCAATTGTCATTTCCTAACAAGTGGTCAAGAAATATGAACACTTTTCAAAAAGAAATAACTATCAATTACATGAATAAATGCTCAAAAATCATTTTAATAGAGAAATGCCAATTTAAGCAATACTGAGTTATTCCCCTCACATCAATGTGGCAAAGATAGTAAAAAGAAATAGGAAAATATTGTTACAGGGGTTATGGGAAGGAATATAGTGAGTAAACCCACAATTTAGGAAAACATTGATAAGCTGGAGAGTATCCAGAGGAAGACAAGTAGAATGATGAAGACTTTTGAGTTCGTGCAGTATGAGGACTAGTTGATGGAACTAGGGATGTTTAACTTGTAAAAGAAAAGGATCAGGGGTGAATAGACAGCTATCTCCTGCCAGGAAGACTGGGATTAGACCTGTTTTCTTTGGTTCTAGAGGGCAAAACTTGGATCAAAGTGTAAAAATTGCAAAGAGGGAAAAACTAGGCTCAATGGAAGGAAAAAACTTTTAAAAAATTAGAGCAATCCAGAGATGGAATGGGCTGACATAGGAGGCAGTAGATTCCTCCTTACTGCAGGTCTTCAAACAAAAGCTGGATGAGCACTTGTCAAGTATGTTGAAAGTGGAGATTCTTTAAGGAGTATGAGTTGAGCTGGATGAATGTTGAAGTATTTTGGAACTCTGAAATTGGGATCCTGATCCTAAATTCACTTACGGCAGAATTGTGAATTATTTCAATCATTCTGGAAAACAGATTTGCAGTTATTAAAATGTTTCATATTTTTTTATCTAAAGGTTCTACTAGTGGGACTGTGTCCTAAAGTGGTTATCAACAGCAAGTTAAGACCCACATACACAAAAGTAGCCATTACATGTAACAGGTGGAAACAAATATATGCCTTAAGTTTGAGTATGGCAAAACAAACTGGGCCACATGAATGCACGGCAGTATTTCTGCCTATAAGGAATAATGAATGAGAAATTCAGATAAACATAGGAAGACTTATTTGAAGTGCTCCCAGCTGAAGAAAACAATATGTACAATTACTACCATGATATAAAAAGTTGATTTTTTAGAAGCGACAACACTTTGATCAAAATTGTAAATGTTAGTACCATACTGTCAAAAGTTAAAAGACATCCTTTCTGTTTATGATTAATTGACTGTTGTGGGTAATGTACTTTGATTGTGGTGGGCATTTCTAAACGTATTTGCTGTGACAAAACAAAATGTATCAGTATGTTTTAAAAAATAAAACATGGATGAATAGGCAGTTTCCAGAAGAAGAAATTAAAGCTATCAACAGTCATGTGAAACAATGGTTCAAATCACTAACAGGGAAATACAAATTAAAACAACTCTGAGGGGCACGGTGGCATTTTTTTTCCTTTTATTTTTCTTCCTTTTTTTGAACATTGCTAATGTGGAAATGTTTTGCATGACTTCATATGTATAATGGGTATATTTCTTGCCTTCTCAAGTTGGCAGAGGGGCTAGAGAATTTGGAAATGGAAATAAAAATAAAATTTAAAAAACGTATGCCATGAGGTTCTCCTAATAACTGATGATACAGAATATTTGCACTAAAGGCCTCAATTAGAGAATTCAATATTGAAATGATTTACCAATAATTGCCAAAGGTTTGCTAAACGACTTGAGAAAAACTGATTTATCTATTCTTCTAGATTCTCGTTTTATTATGTTACCAAGAAGCAATGTACCTAAGCCATGCTAAGTTTGTTTTACTAAATTACCTTCAACCTTTACAGAGATATGAATTAACCTAGATGCATACTAAGATCAGTAGCTACAAAACATTCTCCCCATAAACTTGGGGTGTATTCTCTCACAATTACAGATTCCGTAGAAAGAACAAATACATACATAGGGTACAATGATAGAGAGGTACATTCATAGGGGAACACAAATGGCAAAGTCAACTCATACCCTGGGCACTGTGGGCATAATTCTTTCTATATTGACTCTCTTCTCTGTTTCCATTAGTCACACTCCTCAAGGCTGTTTATGTTTATTAATTAACTAAAGAATGTGTCTAGATTTTTTAAAAGACCACTAGGGAGCCAATAGCCAGCTGCCTTGTGATTTCCTAATGCCTGACTGACACTTTTTTTTCACTTTAAGATCTTTACATCTTCCTGTCTCTGTATCTGTCCACTTACATTCTATGATTTCATTAACTGGCTGGGGGAAAGTCAGTTGATCAACTATACAAATAACAATGCTTACAGAAGAATGTTAAAAGAATTAATGCTCATTGGATAATTTAAAATGACTAAGTATGTCAGTCTTCAGAAGGAAGACATAACATATAGTGTATATTACCTATGGCCTATGTGAACTAAATATATGTAAAACTTGCCAAGAATTCTGTTAGATGTTTATGTTCATAAATTGTATCTTTTCCACTGCTTTCATTATTCCAGTAAATCAGGGTGAAATAACAGTGAATGTATATGTGTGTATGTACACATGTATACAGACATACATAAAACTAGCCCAAACCTGTATACT